CACAAAGCCCCACCTGAAAAAGGGTTCAGACTTGGACAGAACCTTTTTCCTTCCAGCATTCAATTTCTCTGCTCAGGCTGGTGGGCAGTGTTGAAGGAGCACTGCAGCACCCCAGGAACTGAGCATCCCTCTTGCCCACTTCACAGCCTCCGCCGGAGTCGGCCTCCTGACCCAGATCCTTCCCTTAAGCACAGGGTGGCTGGAGCAGCTAATCCTCCCTAAGCTCTTTTCTACAGGATTCTGCCCATCATGAGAAGATCCCTTTAAAGGACACAAAGGCGAATTCTGTTACCTTTGCTGGGTGGGAAATTATCAGGGGGCTACCAACAGGCACCCCACTGCAGAAAAGGCACTAAATGAACACCCAAATGATGGAGTCAAGCCTTAAAGTAACTGAAAAATTGGGGCAAGTAGGGTCTTCAGCATCTCACTTTCCCATATCTTATTTACCATCAGCTGGCACTGATGTGGGCAACCTGACGTGAGGTGGCATCTGCTCCAAAGAGACACTGTGAGACTGAAATTAATAGAGACAATTTCAACCAGCTTTGGATCAAGTCACACTACAGAAACTCAGCTCAAGGCTACACCCAACCAACTCTCAAACACTTCTCTCCAGACAGGTACATCACAGTAACACTCACTTCTAATCAGTTCACATCCAGGACTTGCTGTTAGAATCACAGAATGAATCACAGAGTGGTTTGGGTGGGAAGTGACCTTTAAAGCCCATCTAGTCCAACCCCCCTGCAGGGATCAGGGACATCTGCAGCTGCATCAGGTTGCTCAGAGGCCTGTCCAACCACAACTGGAATGGTTCCAGGGGTTGGGCACTGACCACCTCTCTGGGCAACCTGGGCCAGGGGCTCACCACCAAGTCACATCTGATTTTATTTTGGGGGAGATTTTTTGGGCTTCTAGTGAAAGCCACATGATTTTCATTCCCCATTTGGTAACCAGCACATAGTTCTGGAAAAAAAAAAAAAAAAAGAGTTCAGGAATGTGCAACTGAGGCCACAGAATCACTGAACCCCAGCATGGGGGAGTTGGCAGGGACCTCCGGTGATCATCACATCCAACCCCCTGCTCCAGCAGCTCACCCACAGCAGGGTGCCCAGGGTCACAGCCAGGTGGGTTTGGGATCTCTCCAGAGCAGGAGACTCCACAGCCTCTCTGGGCAGCTGCTCCCGGCTCTGCACCCTCACACCAAAGAGTAATTTCCTCTCAGCATCTTTGCAGCCTCCACTGGACTCTCTCCAGCAGTTCCTTGTCTCTTTTGAACTGGGGAGCCCACAACTGGACACACTACTCCAGAGGTTCCTGATAATACACGTGGCAATGCACAGAAAGGATAACCAAATTATTTTTCATCTTTACCCAGCTAAGAATTGTGATTTCATCTGTGGGTTGCCCATCTCTCAAATGACTTGTCCTCCCACCCCATGCATGACATACTACAACCCACACTGAGGCAGCTCCGAGTCATGGGACGGTGATTCCAGACCACAGATCTCTTCCCAAAGCAGCCAGCCTCCACCAAAACACACCTATTAGGAACTGGGATGTGCAATCCATGTGGAAACCCCCACACAATGACCAAGCAAATAGAGAGTGGACATGAAAAACGAGTCCCTGGGGGTGCAGAAGATGGTGCTCCTCCACATCTCCACCCTACATGACTTTTAGACAAACTACCTCTAAAAATCATGAACTAAAACTGACCTATAAATACATGACACTGCTACTCGTGTCATAAACCACAGAGACCAATGATGAATGAATTCATCGAGGACCTCCAACCATGTGCCTCTTCCATCCTAATTCATTTTTTCTAGGACTTACTCTAAATTTGCAATCTTCCAAGGGCTTCAAATAAAAGCTCAGAAAGCACCTATTTGAGAAATTTCTTTCCTTTCCTGAAAACATGGAATTTTCTTTCAAACTTGTGTTTTCTGAAAGCCTAGAACCAAGATACTCCCAGCCCCGGCTTCTATTCCTGTAACATATCAAAAAAAGTGACATTTTTCCACACTGAAAAAGCTATTTTAGGTCATTCTTCACAGTTACTTTTATATTTTACATTCATTTAAATTTTTACAGTCCTGTTTTCCCACAGGCATCTGAATTATGTCTTTGGAGGAAAGCACTGAAAAAAATAACCTTTTCTCTCTCCCAAAAAAAGGAATTCAGATATTTTTAAAGTAGTTTTTAAGTGTTTGATGGGGTATATAAAGGATAAACTGAATTATTTATTACAGCTGTCTGTACATTCCTGGTCCTTTGGTTTTGCTTTTTTGCATGCATACCTATGTACCTACACACATACATCTGTATATGATATTGAGGACAGAGGTAGGAAAAAATATCAAAAGCAGCTCAAGTTGGTCAAAAAACCACAAACCTCAAAATCTTAAAGCCCCATTAGAGTCATACCCCAACCTCTCCACCCACAAGGATGGACGTCCACCAGTTCATCCTTGGGCCAGTCTGAGTCCTTTGGCTACTACAACCCTCCTACAGCCTCTGTCTTTTTTGGGCTGATGGGCTCTAGACAGCACTTTTACACTTAATTCTGTGCAAAACTCAGCTTTGCATCACTTGGCAAGAGTCTTGCTGGTAAAAAGGATCATAAATCTTTTCTCTACAACCCAGAAAAGGAAGGGGCCAAAGATGCTCCAGACCTGGGCTCCACACGTGGAGGAGCTGGAGCCAACAACCCCTTCACCCGTTATTCAAGCCAACAGGGGAAGGAAAAACCCTTGTACAGCAGCTTATGTTTTTCTATAAGCAGCTTATGTTACTGCATAAAATACAGTGAACTTCTCCCATCTACAGCTTTTCTTCCTGTTTTCCAAATAATTAAAAGAGCAGCTTAAAAGCGGGTTTTTTGGCATTAAAAATATTTGCACTATCCCAGCAGACAAGCAAAATATTACTTTCCCAGGGCTGTGCTGATTTAGCAAAGCTTATAAATACCACTGGGCTTCCAACTAGCACCCTTTGAAAAAAAAAAATGAAATGAATAAAAGGAAAACAGCATCATATGTTCACAAATAAACTTCACTACGTTTCCAAGCTAAATTTCCTCGATAATTGAGCTTTATAAACAAACATGTCAGACAGGGAGCCAAAAACACCTATCCCAAGTATTCCATCTGCCATCCAAACTTTTCTTCCTCTGTGGAATGCAATACTTCACGTGGAAAAGAAATATTCCTGGATTGTTTTTTCCAATAATAAATTAATAGAAAGGTGCATAGAATTAATATGCAAAGAATTAACAGAATCAAATCCACCCCAACAAGCCAGTCTTTGAGATGCATGAGGCAGGAAACAGACTGGAAATGTGGCCAGTAACATTTTCACCAAGATGAAACTGTTGGGAAAACTCACTCCTGTATCTGCTGAATAAAACTACAGACACCTAAATAAAAATAAACACTACTTGTCCCACTCACACGCAACAAAAAGGGTCTTTACACAGCATCACCTATTTTAGGAGGCAAAAAAAGTTGTGATGCTTTCGTCGGATGGTTTTTAAATTGGGTGGGGTCTGGATTATGTGGTTCTTTAAAAAGAAGACACCCTCTCCTGAGGTTGCCATGCCCAGGGTGGCACCCAGCAGATACTCACAGTGCTGTACACAGCGGAGACGGTCGGCGTGAAGATCCGCTCCTCCAGGGGCTGCTGGACAGGACCTCGGGGGATTCTGCAACACAGCGAGTTAAGGAAAGCAGCGTGGCAGGACAGGGTCGTGTCCCGGGGCCCCCGTGGAGCCAGGGAGCCCAGCAAGGCAGCCTCTCACCCTCCGTGCTCGGGCACACACACCAACATCTCCCAGGCACTCACATCCCACCGGGGCAGCTACGATCCTTCGGGGTTCTCCGACACAGGGGCAAAGTGGGGCTTCAAAAGGCAGATGGTCCAAACAAACACAGGGAGAGCGACCGAAGCCAAACCGCTCGCCGAACAATCTACAAACCCTTCGTGCTGCCAAGAGAATCCCCCAACTTTTTTTTTTTTAGAGAGTAAAGGGAAAAAAAACAAAACCCAAACCCACAAGCTCTTCGCATTCAGCGAGGCAAACCCTGCTGATCAGCAGGGCATTTCCAGACAAAGGCTGTGCCTGTTTTGCTAACCACGCAGGAATCACGTTAGAATTGTTTCCTTGTTTGCCTCTCTTCAGCCAGTGACTCCTTTCCCCATCCACCCACCAGAATCGCTTCTAAAAAGGGCTGTCGGTGAGGTCTGGAAGTTTTGATGATCTGCTGCAGGGTTGTTTAAAGGTAAATTGCAACAGTCGCCTGAAATTGGAAAGCTATTGTGGGGATCCAGGGGAAAAGAAAGAAATAGAAGGAAAAAAAAGGAGGTGGAAAGACTTTATGCAACAAACAAGCCAGAATCTGTTTTACTTGTGGAATAAAAAAAGCTGATGGAGGTATTTTAAAAACTAAAACCTACCCGACTTAGCTAACACCTTGTGGCCCTAGGTCCCTGCAATACCCAGCACCCCCAGTCAGAAAAAAGCCATGCTAAACTTGCTGAAAAATTTTCAACTAAAAAGCAATATTCAGGTTTCACCTTTTTGCTATTTACATTTTATACGTCAAAGCCTCTCAGGAAATGAGAACAGCCTGACTGATGAAGTTTCTGGCACAAAAGCCAACAACATAGACCCCATGTGGTAACATTAGAGCAGATATTTAAAAAAAAAATAAAAATCATAACAACATTACTTGTGTTTTGTTTAAATGAGGAAAAAATCACTTTTAATTTTTGAAACTAGAAGATTAGTTTGAATCAGTCAAGAATCACAGAATCCCAGCACGGTGGGGTTGGAAAGGACCTCAGGAGATCATCTCATCCAACCCCCTGCTCCAGCAGCTCACCCACAGCAGGGTGCCCAGGGTCACAGCCAGGAGGGTTTGGGATCAGGAGACTCCACAGCCTCTCTGGGCAGCTGCTCCAGGCTCTGCACCCTCACACCAAAGAAGTTTCTCCTCCTGCTCAGGTGGCACCTCCTGGGTTCCAGTTGGTGCCCGTTGCCCCTTGTCCTGTCCCTGGGCACCACTGACCAGAGTCTGGCCCCAGCCTCTTGCCCCCCAGGGGCCCTTTAGCTCTTGCTCAGCACTGATCAGATCCCCTCTGAGGCTTCTCTTCTCCAGCTCAGCAGCCCCAGGGCTCTCAGCCTGTCCTGGCACAGAGATGCTCCAGCCCCTCAGCAGCTCCACAGCCTCTGTTGGACTCTCTCCAGTAGCTCCTTGTCTCTCTTGAACTGGGGAGCCCAGAACTGGACCCAGTACTCCAGAGGTGGCCTCACCAGGGCAGAGTAGGGGGGCAGGAGAACCTCCCTTGACCTGCTGGCCACACTTTTCCCTTTGCACTACAAGTCTGATCTTCATAGAAACCCTGCTGCCCAAACCTTTGCAGGGACCAACATCACAGTGTCAGGAGAGGTACTGCCAGCACTGTCAAGACTCGATCCAAACTCCACAACCCCACTCACACCCCTGCCTTAAAGTGGACAAAATTTTAAGGCTGAGGTAAGGACTGTCCAGACACAGCCTGCTCTGCATCTGTGGGCTGATCACAGCAGGCCCCCGCTGGATCTCCTCCTGTTCATCTAGTGCAGGGCAGAAAAATTCACAATATTGCACTATTCTGACACCAAACACATCACCAGGAAAGTCAGCAGGCTGAGAAACTGTTCTATAAACTTCCATATTTGTTACATATTCACCGTTTGAAGAGCAGACAAGCTAAACCCCCTGCATTATAGGATTACACAGGGAAGAGAACGTCGCTGACCTTCACAACACCTTTGCTCTAAGTAATGTCCCTGTTAAAACCTGGCAGGTGTAAAATGGGACGCCCACGACCAGCTCCAGATAGAGAACCAAGAGGAGGATCTGGCCCCACTGGTTCTCAAGGTGGTGCTTGCTCAGACTACCTCTCTTCAGGTCTGGTGTTTTTGTTTGTTTTTTTTTTTTTTTTTAAATGAGTGCAAGAATTTATTTTAGGGTCTAAAACTTGTCTTTTCTGCATGTGCACAGTTGATATCGCCTCTCTTCAGGTCTGGTGTTTTTGTTTTTTTTTAAATGAGTGTAAGAATTTATTTTAGGGTCTAAATCTTGTCTTTTCAGCATGTGCACAGTTGATATCATTTGATAAAATAGAGGATTTCAACAACAGAATTAGATGTGAAATCCTGACTCCAGTAAAAGAACAGGAAGGTTTGGCACAGACTTCAACAGAGCCGAGGTGTCACTCCTACCCTCCATCCTGAGGATCTTACATTCATCCCTAGGTTTTGGATAACACCAACAGAAAGACAAAATTTGGGAGACAGGGATTAGAAACGACAACAAAAACTCTCACATTTTCTGCACCCTCCCCTCCCACCTGTAACCATCGTCTGATAAAGGACAGGACACAGGCGTGGTTTGAAAGCTGCCACCCTTTTGTCACAGCTGATATTTCCAAATCTTGAGGCAGTTGTGACGATGAATTGAAGCAATCGCTGCTTCAAAAGGGATCCTTCCTGAGTTTGGAAAAAAAAAGGTTTCATCCTCGAGAAGGTTGGGATTTATTTTCTTATTTTAGAACTTATATAAGCCAGGAGGAAATAATCTTCTTTGAGCAGAGTAACATCTCTTTCTGCACCCAGGAAGAGCTGCCTAAAGGAATGAGTGGTTTAGATGGATTTTCGGAGTTTGGGGGTGTCGTTTAAAATCACTTCTGCAAAGTGATGATTCCCATCAGATTAAAGAAACCTTTTAAATCCTTTTTGCCAAAGGACATGAGACTGATAGGGACAAAAATGCCTTAAATTCCAGTAAGCTTTAATGAGATATAACAGTTGGAAAAAACAACTATTTCCAACATCTAACTCCTGGCATCTACAGACTGACTCTCTGCAAAGAGCTGGGCTGGTGGAACAGTTGCTGCTTCCCTGCAAGCCTCCCAGAGCTTGTTTCTGTCCCCCTGGTAGAAGTTCTGTCCCCACTCCTTCCCCTTCCATCTGCCACAGGAGCCCACCCTAGGGTCACAGTTGCTGTGATTTCAGGAGACCCAAGCCAGGGTGACAACAAAAGTTCATTAGCACTCTTGCTAACAAGGCTCTTTTCCCTAGGAGAGTGATAGGTCTGGAGGCTCCACCACGGATGTGAAAGGGTCACAGCAGGCAGGTTGGAAGATACACCTCATCCCCCAACACCATCTCACCCACGCCCACAGCAAACCAACAAAGGGTCTCGGTGCCACCCAAGCTGCCCAAGCAAGGTGGCACTGCCAGCCACACAAACACTGCCCTCCCACTGCCCCCAGCACACCCAGGGAACTCCAAGTGTTCCAGTACAACCCAGCCAGGCTCTGCCTCGGTGCTTAATTAACCACCGTGCAAAGAAAACGAGGATATGCTGAATAATTCAAGCAGCTCTTTCATGTTACTATTCTGGCACGCTGAGATCCAATTCAGGAGGATCCTCTGCCCTTCCTCCTCCTCCTCCTCCTCCTCCTCGCCACCCACGTCACCCTCTTCAGCTGCACCAATTCAGCTCTTTGTGCAGCCACGCTCTGAAGCGATCCAGGAGGGTGGGGAGTTGGAGGGGGTGTGGAAAAGCAAAGCTAAACCCAAACCTCACACTGTTTGCACAGAGATCCTTCCATCGCTGCAGGAAGAATGAGGTGGGTGACAAAGCAGAAGAGCAGGAGCAAGGGGAACCTCTTAAATCACCTCTGCAACTGGCAGGTTAGTAAAGTGGAACTAAGCCTCTGCTCTGCACGCTTGTGTCAGGCTGAAGGATTCTCTCCAGCTCTCCCTCCTGAATCAGCAACATGCCAAAACCCAGAAGGACAGCAGCCAGTGGGTAGCACTGACTCTGGATTCTCTTCCTTGCTGTTTAGGGCTCATTAACTCATGAAATACATATAGCTAAAAATCCACTTAAGCGAGATACTTGTGGCAGATTAATAAAAGCAGGCACAGATGCAATGGGAGTTCCACCTAGTCCCCATCTGGCTGCAGCAGTGATTACAAGCTGGGAAATTTCAGGAGCTATTAAAGACCTGGTGGGAGAAGGCAGGCAAAGATAGTAACACCGGCTGGAAACGAAACAGAATCTTTCTGGAAACCAGAGCTCTCCCCTAAAAAGGAGGAGGATATCTTATAATTGGACAGCCATGCTCCGAGGAGACAGGAGAATACATGACTTCTCTGCAGAACAACTAAAGAGAAAAAAAATCCAGCCCAGAGCTGCCCGTCAGCTGGAGCATTCAGAGGCACTGAGAAATGCAGAGTTAAGTACAAGTCAGGAGGAATTTCTTGCAGAAATCTCCCCCTTGTATCACATTTGTCCACTTGTTCTCATTTCCATGTGCTTTTACAGCAATGAACAACCCAAAAACATACACTAAAATAGAATCTTACAGCAAGAAACTGTTCCTGCTTCAGAGATGGGAGGAGGAAAGAAAAAACACTACATTTTCTCCCAAAATGGATTCATTTTCCCCTCAAACAGCGCTTCTCACCTAAGCTCATTTTCAGCAACTAGCAACCATTTTCTCCAGAGCATGCACTGATGGCCTCTTTCTTCACTTCCAGCTGACAGTACCGACCAAGCACCTTCTCACAGGAATAAAAATATCTGCGGGTACCCAAGGGCGTGTATGCAAATGCCTTACACAGAAAACCTTCCAGAACTAATGATT